AGGAAGGAAACTCAGGAATTCTGCCCGGAGTCCAGGCTCAACCCGCCCTGCACTCCTCTCATCTTAAGCCTGCGCTATGTTTCCCTGCCGGGTTTGGGACCGGCAGGACTAAACTACCCAGGAGGCCGTCGGGCCCTGACCTAATTACAGCCGCAGAGGAGGTGGGAGGGGTCCGTGCTAAGAACCTGAGGCCAATCAGCCTTCCCCAACCTCTGGGATCGCCGCTATGGCAACCAATGAGCGCCTTCTCCTAGGCCGCCCCTCCCCGGTCGGAGCGCTCTAACCCAACCACTCTGGGAGACACGAGCTATTCTGGGAGACTCCGCAGCCTCCCGCCCCCACTGGTGATGTGCTCCTCGAGCTTGGGATACACTCCCAGCCGAGTGCAGTTGTTGAAATGCCGCGCCCCTTTGGTAGAGAATGGAATGGGTTGGGGGCGGAGCAAGGCTGGAGGCAGGCCTGAGCAGAGATCGTTGCCTATCACTTAGAGTCACCCTAGCTCCCAGCCTCGTCCAGGGATCTGTAGCCTAGTTCCTTCCAGGTGATGCTCCCTCCCTACGCTTTCAGCGGATTGCATAATTGTTGGCCTCCTCTTCCCTCCTTTGGACAATGGCAGGCTTCTCTGAGCTTCCCTGCCTCCCTTTTCAGTGACCGACTCCAAGAAGTCTTCCTTGATCCCTTGCCCTTCTGGATTCACTGGACTTTCTTTAAGTTCCCTTCATAACCTGTGCGTTTTCCTAGCACTGTACCGTTATTTACTTTTCTATCTATCCCACTAGTCTGTGGTTCATTTTTGAGTCCTTAGCACAGTGCCTAACTATAGGTGGTGCTGTTAGTGCTGTTTCCTCAAGGAAATCCTAAGCAGAATCCTGATGGAGTCACCAAATAAAGGCAAAGCTATTTTGATAGGATTAGGGAGGGCGTGTCTAGGGCCCCAAATTCCTAAGGAAGCCCCTGAAGCACCATAATTAGTGACTTCAGGTGAAATATTCAGTTTAATATATAAAAATGCGGTTTACCCCCGATGTGGAAATTAAACATATCTAGGGCCTCTAGAAACACCCTTAAAATCTCAATTTTGGATTTCACTTTGGATTACCTGTGTGTTTTTATTTTCCAGTCTAACGAACCTTGATAACTGTTTGCCTCTTCAGTTTAATTCCTCACCCTCTTCACCCAGCTCTGGGGTTCCAGGCTAACTTGCATGCACCACATCAAAAGATTTCCTATCTCTGGCTTTCTTTCGGATTCAGCCAATGAGTAGCATAGGCAGAAGATCAGAGGAAAGCAGAAGTGTGAGGTTGGGGTATTTAATCCTCTGGCTGTTTCCTTACAGGAGTTTTGGCATGCTCAGCTGAGGCCCTTTAACTAAGATCTCACTCCTGTCTTGTGGCCTTGTCTACCTAGTTCTCTGTTTCTAAGTTCTGAACAACCAACTCCCATTTCCTCTTCAGGCTTAGTCCCTCTACTACTAGATTCTGGGTACTGCCCACCCACTTTGTGACCTCCCTATACCCTGCCCACAGCTTTGTA